CTTTTTCATTCAGCCCATTCTGGGGATATGGCTGAATGCGGAGGGGCTTCTACTCCGGTTGGGGCAGGATGCGGAAGTCGCGCGGCTAGCGGGCGTGTACTTGCGCTACGCGGCACTTGGTCTCCCAGCCTACAGCTTCAACATCATATCCAGGCGGTACTTCCAGTCCCAGGGTAAGCATTTGCCTTCCCCTTTCGCTCTGATGGTGTTGATCGGCTGCAGGACTGTTTACGGTGCCGACCAGGATTGTGTTTGTCGCAGCGCCTGTGAGCGCGTTCCTCAACTGGCTGCTGGGTAGGTCATATGTCATCCTAATCAGGATCTGGTTTTGTTTACCGCCCTTGTGTTTCTCCCAGTATGGGGTCCTCCGAATGTCAGACTTGGCTTTAGCGGAGCACCGATTGCGACGTCGTCCGCATTTACGCTTGTGAGTCTGATGAACATCGGATACGGCGTGTTTCTCGCGCCGAGGACGGCCTGGCGCCCCTTCTCCGCCGAGATTGTGGACATCAAAGGACTCGCCCTGGCGCTCAGACTGGGAGTGGCTGGTGTCGGTGAGTACCGCATGTGTCGCACATCCCGCTTGCCATCATCTCGCTACAGGACAGATGGCGTCGGAGTGGTGGGCGTGGGAGTTTATGACCTTGGCTGCTTCGTTGTAAGTGCGTCAACGGCGCGTCCGATGCATACAGACTAAATGCGTAGTACGCGCATCACAGACTGGGCCCCATCGCCCTCGCGACGCAATCGGTCCTGCTCTACACGACGACCATGACGTACCAGGCCCCGTTCGCCGTGAGTCTGGCGGCGGCCACGCGCATCGGCAACCTCCTGGGCGAAACAGACGCGTTGCGGGCCAAGATCGCCTCGCGCGTGGCGCTGGGGTCGGCGTTTGGACTGGGGTTGATCTCGAGGTACGCCTGGCTAGGTTTTCCCACGGTTCGATTCTGGTTCATTGATGTTCGAAGCACACTGCTGATGACGTTCCGGCATTCGTGGGGTCGGATATTCAACGATGATCCGGGTGGGCTGCCAGTTTTGATTTTGTTGCCTTCCGTGGCGCTAAAACGGCGCGGCAGAGGTTCTGCAGCTGGTCACCAGTGTTTTGCCGCTGCTTGCTTTGTTCCAGGTGTTTGATTCCGTCAGTGGAGTCGCGTCAGGCATCATGAGAGCCAAGGGCCGACAGGTGCGTGGGCTATGTCTAGTAGTAGGGACAGCAGACCGATCCATCCCAGATGACGGGTGCACTGCTCAATCTCAGGCAAGTTATTCATACCATTTCACCCCACATCCATCTCTACTGAGTGACTGGTTCGTGCGTGCAGTGCTTACTATATCCTTGGTGCGTGTTGTGCATCAAAAAAACGCCTAATGGAAACTGACAGCACTCCAGGCCTTCCGATTGGATGTCTTCTCGCTTTCAAGAAGCACATGGACCTGCACGGGCTCTGGCTCGGGCTGACCGTGTCGCTGGTGGACTGCTCGCTGATCGGGGCGTGGATGTGTCTCAAGACAGACTGGGTGATGGAGGCCAAGCGGGCGGTCGCTAGATCCGCGTAAAAGTTGTCTACAAAAGAGCCCTCCAAAATAATCATATGATCATGATATTGTTCCACCGCGTAGCGTCACACAACTGGTCGGTCTGATGTGCTCGTCACACCATCAGTCACCGTCGGGCCGGCATCCATCTGTGATCTATCTGATCGACAGCACTGAAGCTCCTTGCCTCACGCCGACGACGAGGACGACGTCGCACGACTGCAAAGATGGAAGACGAAACTGCAGAAATAGAGCTGGCGAGTCTCTCTCCCTTCTATACACATCGCTCCCTATGCTACGGTCGCCGGTAATCTGTGCTCAACTCCCCCGCAGCTCGAACAGAATCTGAACAAGACGCTCCAGACCTCTGCGCGCATGACAGCTATTCTGAACGCGTTTGACACGCGGCTTGCGAAGCTCGAGCGGTCCATCAGGCCTTTGTACGATTCTACGCAGGTGCTCAATCGGAGGGCAGGCAGTGCGTGCCGACTTCATCTTACTCCTGCTTGTTTGACCACGTTGGCCGCTAGACATAGAGAAGGCGCTGGCCAAGATCGACGAGGTGGCGAGTAACCAGGAGGGAATAGCTGCGGAAGAGGCATTGATCTTACGAGGGTGCGTACTGTGCTGATCTTGGAATGCCCTGACCCGTCTTAACCTACCTGATTCACAGCCCACAACCGAATCAACTGACGACCTACACCGAGGCCCTGGACCGCCTCAACGCCTCCATCGCGTTCAAGTCCGGCGATCGCGATGCGCAAGACACGGCACGACTGATCGAAACGGGAGCGAAGAAGCTCGCGGGGACGTTCACGAAGCTCGTCGCCGAGGTGTCCGCGAGCTCAGCAGCCTTCCCAGCTTCCACTGTCGCAACGCTGCGGCCCCTCGTCGCGTTTATACGCACACTGCCCCTCCCCGCGACGCACCCGTCGCACCCCGCTGCCCCGGCGATCATGTCTGCGCTCAAGGACGCGCAGCGCGGGTATGCGGATATGCGCGGCAATTGGGCGCGCCGCGCGCTCGAGGCGGGTGGGAAGCGCGTCGTGGACCGGGCGGAGTCTGGCGAGAGTCTGGTTGTGGGACGGGAGTTTGGGGACTGGGTCGCGGGCGTGTTGGCTGTTGCTGATGTATGTTGCTCATGCCCTGGTACACTGAGCTGATGGCTATGCTGACTGTGTGCACAGGAAGAGTATTTACTGATCAAAGAACTGTCCCCGCTGTCCTCCCCGAATGCGGTCGCGACATCGTACAACACGCTGCTCAACCCGATCCTCGCGCTATTCAGCACGACGCTGACCTCGCTCGTCGCGCTCATCAAGCGGTCTCTCAGCAAACACGCGTTCCTGGCCTTGGCAGCGAACGAGGCGCTACTGACGCTGCAGGACCAGTGGGACGTGCTCCTGGCCCGCCGGGGGTCCGAGAATGCTAAGTCGAACGAACTGAAGGATGGGCTGGGGACGCTGCGCGGGGTGTGTCTACGCTCGTTCCCAGAGTTCCTCGCGGACATCAAAATGGCGTCGCTCAGCAAGGGCGGGTCGGACACGAGCACGGGCACGGCGGACTTTGTGGTTAGCGCCGTCAAGTATCTTGAGCGGCTGCCCGATGTGCAGGAGGCTGCGTCATCGGCACTGCTGCAGCTCGGGGACGGGAATTGGAAGATGGGTGAGGGCGTGCAAGTCGGAAAGGGCAACAAGCTCGGGGATGGTGATGAGCAGGTCATCCTTGAGCACTTCGTTTGTGAGTGCACTTGCTCGGCCCAGTGCGATTGCTATGGTGGCTGATAGGATCCGATTAGACGACGTAATCACGACTGCAATCAGCAGTTTAACGACCATATCGCGCACACAACGCCGCGGGGCATACGGCTCGATCTACCTCCTCAACAACATCTCCTATCTACGGAGGAGCACGCTCGAGGCGCCCTCGAACGATGCCCTGATCGACCTGCTCTCCAAGCCGACCCAAGACGCGATCAACTCCGCGTCGCGCACCGCTAAGGCGGGGTACTTCGATGCCAACTTCTCTCCGCTGCTGCAGACGCTCACAGACGATGCGGGTGCGAAGGGGAGTTCTGGGAAATCAGCGGTCAAGGAGAAGTTCACGCGGTTCTACGAGCTGTTGGATGAGGTGCTCGAGCGACATAAGAATGCGCGGATCCTGGAAGACGACGACGAGGGCAGGGAGGATGTCGGCGAGGACGTGGTCAAACTTGTGGTTCCTAGTCTGGTCAGGTTTACGACCAAGCACAAAGAGAAGGAGTTTAGCAAGAGTGAGTTGTGTGCAGATTCTTTCGTCGCTTTACCGGCTAATGTCGCTTTGTTGTTAGATCCACAAAAATGTGAGTGCCATGGCCAGATCAACATGTTCGGTACCGCTAACCTGCGTAGATATCAAGCAATCGTCAGAGGCTGTCGAAGCCCAGTTGAGAGCCATATACCGATAGATTGTTGTCTGCTCTCCTGGGTTGTATTTTTACTCTGTATGTCTATATATACTTGCATGTCCTGCACTTGGTATATTCTTGTGCCCTGAGTATAGCAATCGGGGCTTCCATTGCTCTCACAGTTTGATTTCAGCTAAAAGTAGATCTCATGCATTTGTTGAAGAACCCAAGATTTTCCTCTTCGAGTCTCTTGCTCTAGAGCCGAGCGACATGAACGAGCCCGAGAGGTGTGGCCTACACAGTGAGCGGCGGGACCTCCCGCACTTGGTCTTCCTAACAGCCCTAGCGATGCGATGTGGACTCACTCTCGCACGGGCATGCAGTAGATAGAAGGATTGGTCAGGCAAGCGATGTCTCTGGGATGGGCGCACTCAATGTGCAGGCCCCGGTACTGCCGAAGTGCGATGTGCGATGGATGTTTGAGGTAAAGTGGGTCTTGTGTGATGGATAGACTGGTGTTTCGTCGCAGGTCGTACGAGAAAGATCGGCATTTTGGAGAATACGATTCATGGTGCATGGACTCCAACGGGGGACGGGGATATCGGGTCGCAGGTGGTAAGGATCTGCTAAGCCTCAATCGAACGATTAGTAGATGGCGAGTGGTTCGTGTTATGCTCCCGCTGACGGAGACCCGATCACTTAAGCCGAGTACGGGCAGTCTCTTGGTAGTGTAGCAGCCCATCCAATCGGATCGAGGTCTCTCAGCTCATCTGACGAGTGGTATCACATAGCCTTCGGGGCATGGGGACTCCAGATTCACACCGACAGTTGTAATAATATTTGAGGTTTATTGTTCGATTCATGTGACTAGAGGTGGGAAGAGGTCGATCTCGTCGCGTGCTAGAAAAATGAATGCTTCCACCAAGTAAGACATTCTAGAGACACAAGAGGGTCGGTCATTCGTATGGTCCGCTAGAATGATGGGGTAAAGGTCAGACCAGGGTGATCGGGGTCCCGGCCCATCAAAAGATATTTGATTTTGTGGTACGATGAAGAGAATCTGTTTTGTTGCGCAACAGCTTGGGGTACTACCACCCGTCACTCTACTCCTTCCCCGCACACCCCCACTCTCCCTCGGTCCCTCAACGGACCCCCCTCCACGGCCATGCGCACAATCCTCAAGCCGCTCGCCATTCATGCCGCCTACTCACCCATTGAAACGATCGTTTTCCTCAGCGTCGTCGGCACCCTAGCGTACCTGCGCGTCCTCACTGCGGTCAAACACTCCGCATTCTTCGCACCGACAGCCCCAGCCCGACCCGCCTATGCACTGTATACAGACAACAGCTGGGTCGCGGTGCGCGAATCGGCCTGGTTCCGGGAGGAAGGGGCGAAACTCGATTTGCAGCAAATTGTCTTCAACGGACCGCGGCCCGAGGAGACTTCGTCCCTGGACAACCTCACGGCACATATTGCGACCAAGTCCGCTGGCTTTGTGCACCTGAGCAAGGCGCCTGATGCGTGGACGCAGACGGTCGAGGTCAAAGAAGATGCCAACTTCTCTCCGCTTCGGTCGCTACCTCAGGATAGCTGGGGTATTGCGTATGAAGCGGATGCGCCCAGTGAGCCTATATCTCAGATGCAGTCGGGCAGATGGGTCGCCTATGCACTGAAAGTTTTGATTACCAGGTTCTACGAGCTGGCCAAGGTGCGTCCCTGCTTCTCCTCCCTGAACGTAGTTACCAGGGCTCACTAATTTGCCAGAAAACACCCACGCCGGACATCCTGCTCATCCTGACAGGCTACACGCTGATGCACGTCACATTTTTCCTGCTCATCTCACGCTCACGGGCCCTCGGCTCATCGTTTACGCTCCCGCTTGCGATCGTGTCCTCGTCCGTGCTCGCGCTGCTCCTGGCGCTCCCCGTGAGCATGATGCTGCGCATCCCGATGCATCCGGTCGCGCTGACCGAGGCCCTGCCGTTCCTCGTCTGCACCGTCGGCTTCGACAAACCTCTCCGGCTTGCGCGCGCGGTGTTCACCCACCCGCGTGCGTTCAGGCCGGCGGCGACACCCGCGGGGGAGGTTGTTCTCGACGCGCTGAGCGCGACGTACTACCCGATCCTGCGCGACTATATTCTCGAAATCGCGGTGTTGGTCCTCGGCGCCGGGTCGCGCATCGCCGGCCTGGCGGAGGTCTGCGCGTTGGCGGCCATCCTGCTCGCGCTCGACTGCTTGATGATGTGCACGTTCCTCGCTGCTATCCTGTGCGTTATGATCGAAGTGCGTCGGATCCCCTCGCAGAATGCTCCGAAACCGTCATTCTGGTCGCGCTTCATCGGGCCGAAGGGCAATCTGCTCCCTCCGCGTGGTTCGCTCACCAGCCCCAATCTGTCTAACCCGGAGAAGACTGGCGCTAAGACGCAAGAGAGTCCTGTCGCGCGGCTGAAGCTGCTGCTGTTGGTCGCCTTCCTCGGACTGCAGGTGCTCAATCTGTCGGCACCGCTGTTCCCGCCCCCGGCATCCCGGCCCACCCTTCCCGCGCCCACAACGCCTCTCGACTGGGACCTGCTTTCGATGCTGGTGGCGCCCGAGGAGTCGACGACGGTGTCGCGCCTGCTGGTGCGCCTGCGGCCCCCTGTTGTGCTCCGTCCGCGACGACTGGGCTTGAGCTCGTCGATTGACAAGGCGTTGAGCACGTGGACGCGGCTGGTGGGCGACCCGGTGCTGTCCAAGGGCATTGTAGTGGTGCTCGTGATCAGTGTCCTGCTGAATGCGTTCTTGATCCGCGGCGTCGCGCATGCCCGCGGCGGCGGTGTGCGTTTCGACGAGAAGGAGGAGGAGCAAGTCAAGGAGAAGAAGGAGGAGCAGGCTAAAGAGAAAAAGGAGGCGGAGCAGGACGGCTGGGCGAGGGAGGTCGCCAAGTCCACCTCGGTGGAGAATCTCGCTGCGGTCCATGCACAGACGCCGCATCCCGGTGCCGGCGCGGTGCCAACGTTTTCGCTCGAGGATGTGGATCGGAGGTTGCGCGCCAGAGGACGGGGATTGCGTAGTCAGACACCAGCGCGGCGGGTGAGCTGTCTCGTTCGATCCCTTTTTATCATATCAATTGACCATCCCGCAGGCCCCGATATCGGACGACGAGGATGAGGATGAAGAGAAGGAGCCCCGTCCATTGGAGGAGCTGATCGCTCTGATGGAGGGCACGCCCAAGTCAGACGGTCTGCAGGACATGTCCGACGAGGAAGTTCTGGTCCTGGCCAAGGCGGGCAAGATCGCCGCATACGCTCTCGAGAAGGTCCTTGCACCCGCTCGGGAACCTGCCGGCCTCGAACGCGCTGTCCGAGTCCGACGTGCGCTGATTTCGCGTGCGTCGATGACGCAAACGCTCGAATCATCTAGCGTGCCTTTCGAGACCTACGACTACGACAAGGTGATGGGCGCCTGCTGCGAGAACGTCGTGGGCTATATTCCGATACCGCTGGGAATCGCCGGTCCCCTCACCATCGACGGTGTTTCGTTCCATATTCCGATGGCCACCGCCGAGGGAACTCTCGTCGCGTCCACATCTCGAGGCTGCAAGGCCCTGAATGCCGGAGGCGGAGTCACGACTGTTCTGACGCAAGATGCGATGACTCGTGGACCGGCCATTGATTTCCCGTCGATCGTCGAGGCCGCTCGTGCGAAGGCATGGGCTGCCAGCCCGGACGGTTCCGCTGCGCTCAAGACCGCGTTCGAAAGCACTTCGCGATTCGCCCGGCTGACGAGCATGAAGACTGCGATGGCTGGACGCACGCTGTTCATCCGGTTCGCGACGGCAACGGGCGATGCCATGGGGATGAACATGATTTCCAAAGGTACTGAGAAGGCGCTCGAGGTCATGCAGGCGGAGTTTCCCGAGATGGTCGTCCTCGCGCTGAGCGGGAACTACTGCACCGACAAGAAACCGGCTGCGATGAACTGGATCGAGGGGCGAGGGAAGAGCGTCGTCGCGGAGGCCGTCATTCCCGGCAAAGTCGTCAAGAGTGTGCTCAAGACCACTGTGGAGGCTCTGTGCAACCTGAACACGAAGAAGAATCTGGTCGGCAGTGCGATGGCGGGGTCGATCGGAGGCTTCAACGCCCATGCTGCGAACATTTTGACTGCGATGTTCCTCGCGACTGGACAAGACCCGGCTCAGAATGTGGAGAGTTCGAATTGTATCACGCTTATGGAACCGTGAGTATCTGATTGCGTCTTCGTGTCCGTTTCCGACGCTAACCTTCCTCGCAGTACGAACGATGGGCAGGATCTATTGATGACCGTCTCGATGCCCTCGATCGAAGTGGGCACTGTCGGCGGCGGCACCGTGTTGACACCGCAAGGCCACGTGCTGGAGATGCTGGGTCTCCGCGGAGCCCACCCGACACGACCCGGACAAAACGCCCAAGGGCTCGCGCGCGTCATCGCCGCGGCCGTCATGGCCGGCGAGCTGTCGCTGATGAGTGCGCTGGCCGCTGGACACCTGATCCGTGCGCACATGGTGCACAACCGATCCCAGCCACCGACACCCGCCGTGTCGCAGCCCGCGACACCGGGACTCGTGGCGCCCGTTGCTGGACATTTGCCTGAAGCCCCGGCAAGGACGTAGAGTGCGCCCGTGCATGCTACTTGGGCCGAGGTTTTAGACGCTGTAGATGTATAGCTGCGATATACGTCTTGGATATGTAAATTACTCACTCACTATAACATCTATACATATTGCAGTACGCTGCTTATTCTCGCTCCGCAGCCCAGGATTGCAGTTCATGTAATGGAATAAAGCATTCAATTGCGGGATACCATTTTCGGGTATCTGGAATCATTCAAAGTCTGGTTGGCGAATCCCTCCACTTGCAGATAATCAGTTCTGTGCGCTAGATTTTCTATCACGACACTAGCCGCACATCCTTTTCTTCTCAGCAAATTGTTTCGCCTGACTAGTCATTTTCTTGTGCTCGGTCGCCATTGCAGCCTGATGGCATTTTGCAGAGCACTTCTGGAGATTGAAACGGAATGGCACGATGGGCTGCGAGCCAGATTGACATGGTCGAATCGCACTTGGACCAGCTCCAGAATTTGCAAGGTGAGAATACGGCACAGCGTCCAGAACAGCAGCAGGGTTTGCACAGGACATGAATCGCAGAGGGACTGTCGCATGGAACATGATCGGCGGGTAAATCTGCGAAAGAGGGATGAGGCGCTGCCGGTGTGCTCGCTCAGAGACTCCCAGTTTGGCGGGTAAGCCCTACTTGGACTGATGGGAAAGATATTGCAGATTAGACAGATCAAGTCCCTGGATAACCTCAGCAGCGGTGTCGACAAAGGTCCACGGGTTCAGGTGAAGACTCGGTTTTCGCACGATATGCCCCTGTTTTGCCCTGTGGATGAGCATGCTTGAAGATCATGAAGAGTAGGCGTCTGTGGGTGCGCATCCTCAGGCGTGGGATATTTCCGTTTCGAACCCTAATGCGTGGAAGTTCTTTACATTGAATTAGAGGCCTTCCATGCCAGTTTTACCGAATCTTCCCTATGTAGTGTGAATATCGAAGTTCAATCTGTGATGCGCGGCCATGGTGACAGACATGGGATGCAGACGGGGAGAAGTCTTGCACGAGTGTCGGTGATTCTATATCACGTGGTTGTTATCGGCCTTCCTTCTGACGAGCAATGCCACTGGGGACATGGGTCACAGAAAGGCTCTGTAATCCATTCTTCCCTACTGAGTATTGGACCCGGATCATTTGGACATATTAGCTCCAGCGCCCCAGCGCCCCCAATTTTAGAAATCGGATCGCCTTAGCCACAGATTTGATGGTCTTCCCTTCGCGTTTCAACTTTCAGATGATTTGTCGAAAGACAGTCTGCATGAGACGATTACCCTAGTGTATTTCAATTGCACTGCAGGTGCTCGCTGATTGTCTGTAGCATACACCGTAGGCCAGTGTGTGTAGGTACAGAGCGCCGCCGTTCCGCACAGCGACCTATGCGGTGAATCCATCCATCCATCCAGTCGTTCGTGTTTCTCTCCAGCACTTGGTCTCATCTCCATACGAGCTCCAGGATCGCATTTGTGACTTCAATACGGTAATTTCGTAGCTTACCGGCGACACAGCTTTGGATGCTCCTCAGAATTTGGTTGATTCAGGTTTCGAGTGAGGTCTGACAGACTGCTCGAGCTCTTCATCGATGCATTACGTACGTCCAAGTCGGCCGATCGTGCCCGGTACTTCTGCACGATGTCCAGAAAATATCTCAATTGATTGCATTACTGTGATGCAGTCTCAGACTGTCTCGAGCAAATACCGTCTTCTCTCGGGAATCGTAGTGTCTTCCTCACAGCTGCTTGAGTATCCACAGCCCTAGCGCGGTTCTTGGCAGTCAAGTTCAATGAGTGTAAGGCCCAATCAAGATGGGCTGCCGCCGACATAACAACGCGCGAGATGATCTGCCTCCGGATCTGCACGCACGGCCTCACCCTGCATCTCAAATAGATATGGCCCGCGACGTTTCCCTCTTCGTGTCTTCTTTCACCTCCACCGGCCACTTTTTCGTTTTCTCGCTTTCGTTCTCGCGCTAGCCGCAGACGGTGAGTATGGCCCGTTTTTGACGTCACCCGCGGATTTATGATGACAGCTGCAGTCTCGTGTTTTTACTACTTACTTCTTAGCTACAGCCTTTCTCCACCCACCACCGCCTCTTCCCTCCCTCTCCCTTTTCTTTTCGTTCTCCCCCCTCCTCTCCCCTCCACCTTCGTTTCCGGCCATGCAATTCCGCCTCGTCTTGACGCTCCTCGCCGTGGCCGCATCGTGCGCCGCGGTCCCGATCCCGGAAGTCCGCGCCGTCTCGCCGTACGAGACGCGCTTCATCGAACGCACGCCCAAGGGCCTCAACCGGCTGCGCAGGAGTGCTGCAGGGCTCGTTTCAAGGATACCCGGTATCGCGGCGGTCAGGCGGGAAGAAAAGTGCGTTGCGCCGGTGTTTCGTGAACGGATACGCATATTGACCCCCCTTCTTCTTCGTAGGGACGACATATTCCTTGCGAGGGCACTTGAGGACCCCATATTTGCCTCGGCGCAGGACTTTGTTGCGCGCCGATAGGAGCTGCCGCTGTCGTGCTCAGTGCTCACCATGTGCGTAGCCCTCTGCGGCCGCTGTGTGTGCTCGACCACTGACCGCCGCGCACCCGCAGGACGAATAACGACTGAACGAACACAGCTTTATCTAAAACAGACACTGCATACCTATATGTATGTATGTACGCAGCAGCAGGCGGTCCCGGGCGGTGGCCTCTCTCTCTCCCTCTCTCTCTCCTTCCGTAGCCTCGCGTTGCGGACTTTCGTCGGGGCGCTTCGTTGTCAACCACTTCGACTTGCCGCGCGCGGCCCGTGTTTACCGCAGTTGGACTTTATAGCCATGCCATAGCAAGGGAGTCGAGCGGACCCTGCATCTACCACCGGAACAGCGCTATAATGTGGTTGGTTATTATACATACAGTATCTACATATTTCGTAATGCGGACAATCAATGGCCAGTGCATACCCTCAATACACCCTTGGATGCGAGCACCTAATGTGCGAACCGGAAGTCGAGTCTCCTGTTCCCGACGTCTTTCGTCGTGCTGAGGTAGTGTTGTTGCTCCTGGAGCCGTCGTTCAGCCTCAGGGTCCACAGCCAAAGCCCAAAGACAAGACACACCTGCACGGTCATAGCATCCCAGATTCTAGCGCGCTGGCGGTTGCGCCAGATGTAATACGCCTTGGTAGCGGGGTACATCACGAACACGTTCACACAGTTGATGATCACGAGATTGCGGTTCCCGCGAAGATCTGCGCGCGCGATGAGCACTCAGCACGCACCCACGCGGGGCAGCCGTGGGACTTACAACGGGGTGCGTCGTCGGCCCTGTAAATCTGCGACCCGATGACGGCGGATGCCTGGACGAACCTGGAAACGGCGTCAGTCGCTCGCTCGCGTGATGGGAGGAGCAGGAGAGAAACACGGACATGTTGTAGATGGACGCATTGACCGTCCGGCTGGCGACCGCCCCCGAGTTACGCGACGCCCAGCCGACCTGGATGGGATGCGTGTACGGGTAGGACAGCAAGCCCGTGGCGAGACCCTGCGGACTGTCAGTCGCATGCAAGTCTCCGTGCCACCGGTCAGAAAACGTACGAAATAGACCCATTGGTTGGGTTTGGCTGGCAGAGCATAGATGGCCACCAGGAACGGGAGGGTCCAGAGGTCCTGCGCCATCGAGACCAGCGACCGGTCGTCCCACACCTCGGAGATCATCGTGATCCCGAACATCGTGAACATGCCCACGACGGTACTCGGGATGGTCAACAGGTTCGTCTGGAACGTCGAGAAACTAGGAGGCAGATACAGTCAGGATAAGCTCAAACCGAGCCGCACAGCACGCACCCGAGCTTGCGCAAGCTGAGCGTGAGATACGTGGCGGGCGGCGTGGTCGGGATGCCGAACATCAGTCCGATGATGTACAGCGGCCACAGATCGTAGTCGCACACGGCCGTCCAGAGGCGCTTCAGAGTCAGACCCTCGCGGTTGTGCATGTCGCCTTTGGTCGGGTCGTCCCGCAGCACGCGGGTCACGGCGATCACCTCCTCTCTCTCCGTGAACCACCCCTTGGGCCGGAACCAGGCTTTCGTTTGTGTTGGGGACGGCGGCATTCTGAAGAATGTGGCGATGCCCACGACGAGCGTCAGCAAGCCTCTGTGGAAATCCGAGAGTAAGTGTCGATTGCATGGAGGAGAAGGATCACGCACTCGATAAGGAAGAGCCACTGCCACCCTGCGCGTCCTAAGATGCCTCGCATGCGGAGGATGCCGAACGCAAGGAAGCTGGCGACGATGTTGCACAGATTGGACGACATCCAGAACAGCGCCAGTCGCAGCGGCAACTCGTGTTTCGTATAAAAGTCTGCTTGAGAATCAGCAAAAAACGGTCATCGACGAACGGGGGCAGCTGACAAGAGAGGTACAGAATCAGATCCGGGATGAATCCTCCCTGGATGAAGCTGTGTTTTCGCTCAGTTTCAGTTATGGTGCACAGTATACAAGCCAAGACTGACCCAAGCAGAGCACGCGTGACAAAGAAGGACGTGCGGTTGTTCAGCCAGAATTGAGACGCGGTCACGATCGACCACAGAACCATCTGAGTGGGGATCCATCGGTCAGGCCCAACACGCTTAGACACCAGCTGCGAAGGGAGCTCTGCAAGAAGGAACGCAAATCGGAAGATACTGCGCGGCAGGGTTTCAGAACAGCCTGCCACGGCGCAAACGAAGCCCAAATATACCTGTTACCCCAATTGAAATCGTTCGTGGTGAGCTTCAGATCGCCCAAGAGATTGTCCGTGTTCGCCTGGCTGATATTGCTCCGGTCGAGGTTGAGCGCAGAGAAGCTGATCGCGGCCCACAGCATGACCTTCCAGTCGATTTTCCGCACGAGAGCGCGCTCCTCGCGGTACGTCCACCGCGCCGTCGGATCGAAGCGGTGCCGGTTCTCGTACCCTGCCGTCGGCTGGTAGTGCGCCGCCAGCTCCGGGTCGTCAAACACCGACCGTCGCGTGGCCGTCGCGTCGGGATCCGGCACGGATTGCTTGCCCCGCGCGAGGCGCAGCAGCCAGCTGGTCCACCGCAGCTCCGGGGGCGCGCCGTCGACGAGATTGGAGGCGTCGGCTGGCCGTTTGGGCAGGTCTTCGAATGAGACTTTGGCGATGGAGGACGGGGACGAGGGCGCAGCGGAGTCGGCCGATGCGCGGGGGACAGCCATGGTCGGGATGGTCTGCGTGTGGTGGTGCCGTACCCGAGATACCCAGCGGCGTACTTATACCCGGCCCCCAGCCAATAACGCCATCTGAGGCGTGGACGAAAAGTGTCATGCGAAGCGACGCGGATGGTGCGCTTTTCGGACAGAATGGCGCAAGATCAGAGGGACATTGGCTCAGAACGGCCTGCGGTGGCGTGGCCATTCACCACATATGTCGTCTTCGTCGTGAATATCTCCGGGATTTCGATCAACAGCCATTCGCGGTGTGATTCTTTGTCGAAGCCCACGCGTAGATTAGACGAGGGGTGCACATGAGGCCTACAAACGGGTGAAGACCCTCACGAGGCCAGACTCAAGGCAAGGACTGTGTTCAAGTTGAATATGCGAGCTGGAAATCGTTAATTAAACACGCTGCTTTCCACGGTATTCCAGGTTGTGGAATGTGGACAGCTGGTACAGAGTTCTCAGTGCCGTAAAGCACGTGATGACGTGATATGCATACATTGAGTCATGTGAGCGGTTATGCTTGCGCCACAATCTGGCCATCTCCAGATCAACTACATACATCCCAGTGAAAGGTCAAAAAGCAATTGAATGTGAGTATCCCCGGAGTACGACTCGTCAGTCGACCCGTCTGGAAGGGGTTTGTCTATCGCTGCTGGATACGAGACTCTGTGCTTGTCCTTACACACCGCGCACAGTAAGCGTGGAGCACATTCTCAATCTTGATTCTGTACTTGGGTCAGATTTCGCTGTACGCGTAGGCGATGCCAGGCCCCGGCGCTGGCGGTCCGTTGCCACTCGGCAACCAGCTCTCATCCAGGTGTCTCGGGCTCAGTTTCATGAACCCCGAGGGACTCAGCTGTCTCAATCCGCTTGAGATCGCTGTGCTCGACCTGAATCGATTTCAAGTCTGGCGATATCCTGGTGGAAGGTTTAACGGTTTCTAGATATCCCACATTATGGCCCACAAAATCGAAATGGATATGACGAGCCCTCTCTGTCGATTGTCTCAAGACACATTCAATGGGACTGGAAAAATCCAAGTGAGCGTCCTCTGATTTCCAGATACGACCGTTACACCGTCTCGGGGCCCATCGGCACATCCGACGTCGAACTGAAATTTAATGAGACGGTGGCTCAAGCCAACGGCAGATTTCAAGGAAATTTCAATTCGGTCAAGTGCATAGTGTTCGTTGCACTTCTTTCAGGTGGGACCGGGGCTCTAGATCTCAATCGCAGAGTCAAATGGACGATGTGGCGATCAGTCCTCTAGCGCCTCCCACTAATCGCGAGAAATTCGCTTATATTCTCTATAGGGAGACGGGGCTCGCTGGGGGAGCACGTCCATTGACGTTGTCTCTCGTGGATTTGAATCATGTCGAATATACCCTCCCCCGGTTCTCCGCGCCGACTCAGTCGCCACGACTCACGACCGTGTCCCTAGTCCTATGATCGATCCACTACGCGGATGGCCTTGCCGCGAGCATTATCATCTGCTTCATAATCGGGTGCGAGGACGCAGGATCATGTTATCGTTGAGGGCATCTGCCGGCGCATGAGCGAGCTTGTATTTCTGCACGAGGCCAGTCCGGTGTCCCCCATTTTTGTCCTGTTTAATGTAATTAGCCTCCGAATGGGGTGGACGTTCTTGATCAGTCAGTAAGCGAGGATAACATATTTCTTATGAACATCTTACCTACACATAGGCTTCGAATCCAGCACGGATTCTATTGGGAAGTCTGATTTAATAGAAGACTGGAATGTGCAGCATGAGTCGGTGGTTGCTACTGGTTCTCGTTTCAGGGCTCGCCGTGAGGTAACCATGTACCTCTTCCATTAGCATCGCATCGATCCGCATCAGATCTCCAGCATGTTTTAGTTTACACGACCAGTGTATCGAATCCGCCGCGACCCTCTCGCCCGGGCAATCTCCTCTCATCCGATCCATTGCCAGCAGTACGGAGACAGTTTCGATGGGGCCTGTGTGGGCGGAATCCGGAGCGGTGCGGCGACTCGCGACTCGCGAGCCAAGCTGGGTGCACGTCCAGACCCTCTCATGTTCCTAGCACAGACTGCGATCCGCGCTTTCAACGCGGCGCGTGGGGGGGGGGGTGGTTTGACCGCCGGGACAAGGCCTACTGCGTGAGCTGGCTTGTCTTCCATGCAAGCCACGGGCGTTCGTCTTCAGAGTAGGATGCGCCCGGGTGATCGTCCTTGGCTTGTGTTGGGCCTTCCGCGAGTCAGGGTTGTCCTTCCGCCCAGGGATTAATGCAGAGAAGGCGCTGATTGTGGCTCGTTGTATGTGCTTCCAGGCGATCTTGCGCAACAGCCCCTGCTCTTCGCGGTGCACAGCTGCATACATCATGTATTCAATATTGGACCTTGAGCGCCGTGGTGCTACTTTGAAGTTGGCTGGTGTGAGCGGCCAGGTAGGGCTTGTCGGATATTACTGTTTACAGCCAAGAGCCTTGAGGTTGAGTCGCCGTGGCGATACTGGCTTGACTATCATACCAAGTGCAGGCAACGTCAAGGTCAGATTCAGATGGGTCGCTGGCGCACTTGTGTGTCCTCCCTGAGGGGTGATCAGTGCATATGGGGCGATGGATAAGGAGATTCAGACCCACGAGAAGGACTGAGGCTTACATATTCCGGGGCTGCAGTCCCGGGTGGGCACTGCTCATCAAGCCATGGTGATGGTGGCTGTGGTAACGTCACTCCTCTCATGTTGTCGCTCAGAAAGTACCTACCTCTAGCGGTCTGACTTTCACAACGCTGATTTTCTTTCCTTTAGTGTCGCCGTATCTTCTAGTCGCAACTCTCTCCCCTCAATCCAAGATTCAAGAATCATCCCGACACTCTCGCCATCCATCAGTCCTTGAATAAGTGGCACCTGAGAACCCCCGCTCCTGTTTCGGGATGGAAGGATACCCCGTGACTCGACAGAGAGGGAAGCAACGAGCGCTGCTCCGCGCTACGGCCCTATCATCGAGAAGAAGATTCGCTGATCTGCGGAACGACCTGGCTGTTCTAGTTGAAACGTTGCTGACCTGTCAGGGTGGGCGTTTACCAGTTCAAGTCCTTCCCCGCACTCTGCACGGATCTGCGCGTATGGGGCAGCACGCACCGAGTATCTACTTTTGGTCTAATTGACATTGGGCCTGTTGAGACTCTCGCTCAAAGTCGGTGTGTTGAGCCGAGCCCTGATCAGCCCCCTGGTTTGACGGTCGAGAGTCCAACCAATATGTCGTGGGGCGTATAGCCACATATGCGCGGTTATCGTCTCTCTATTCCCTTTACAACCCCCTTTGTCAGCATTCTTGGTCTGGCTGCAATCGCCACTTCGACGACCTGAATGGCCAACTCCGTCACTCACAAAATTGATGTCACAAGTCCGCTGCTCCAGTACAACGGCAATTGGCTCCGCGGTGGCACCGATGGGGACCTGGAGCAGATCAGGTGAGGCCGAGTCACTGCGTGTCTTTGGTTCTCGCAGGCTGAAACCGGAGCGGACAGATACGACCAGTTTACTTTTGTCTACTGCTCCATTGGCGACACGTGCAGCATATCGCTCACCTTCAGAGGTACGGAGGTCCATGCTATCGGCGCGTTCCGGGGCGACTCGGGCGCGATCCAGTGAGCACAGTTTTTTTTTTTTCAATTAGCGAATATTAGCGGACTGAAGCGTGCAGGGCCCAGCTCGATGATCAGAGCGTTGATCCACCCCCGCCCCCGGACGATCCGAACCAGTTGGTGTTCCAGCAGAGTCTGTTCAGTCGTACGGATCTCGCGGATACGGCTCACACACTGACGCTGTCTCTGCCGAGTTCCTCGGCGGCAGTGAACAAGACTGTTGACTTCGACTATGTACGTGTGCGGGAAGGGACGCCGCCTCGCCTCATCTCCAGATGATGGTGGTCTGATGGCTCTGTTGTTGCAGTACAATTGGACGTCGACGGTCAACTCTCTGGTCGATGTGCGCTTTCAAGACGACCATCCTGCGTTCGTGTATGATCCCCCGGCGGGCTGGACCACGAGCTTTGTTGGACTGGCCAGATTCGACGGTGGGACTGGACAGTGCGTTATGTCGCAACCAATCCGGTCGTTATCTCTTTCATTGACATGTCCTCCTCAATCAGTTCCACTTCGAACACTCCGGGAGCCTCTGCGACTCTCACTTTCAAGGTACCGCAGTTTTACTCGTTTCGTTCGGACGACGACCTGACTTCTTCCAAGGGCGATCGGGCCGCCGTATATGGCTCGATCGGGTCGGGTGGTGGCCCCTTCACAGCGCAGTTGGATGGCGCGACTGTGCAGAGCTTCACGACCTTGCGCGATGTATCTCCGGGCGTCTCCGGCGCGACCTACGTGACCAATCAAATGATCTATTATGTGGACGGGCTTTCGGATGGCGCGCACACCCTTGTTCTGACTTCGCAGCCCAGTGCGACTACGCAGGGACTCGCGATCGATTACGCTATCGTTGACGGCACCGCCAACAACGCATCTCGGGCGGCCCCTTCTCCGTGAGTGACTGTGCGGACGGAGTCCGTCTGCGAGCTTATTCCTTGAAGGGTGCCCCAGAACAACGATACAGTTGTGTGAGTAGCTTTGTGTGGTAAAGCCCATCGAGCTAACATCCGGCAGTCTCTCCCGCAGTCACGCAGCGGGAATCTTCTCCACGACTGGGATGGTGTCTTTGCTGCTACTGGTCTCCCTGGGCTATGGGATCGCACTGCGCCGCAGGATTCAACTGCTGTCTGCGGGATCCCAGACACGATGCAGCGTACTTTTGCCTTTTGATACGCGCTGTGATGAGCCTTCGTCTCTGAGACCCAGACCCAACGCCATGGCTTCTGCGGTGTTTTCTCCATCGCCAACATCGGGATTGAATACAGGGAGTCAGCCACCCGCGTACGAGCAAGTGCACATCGAGGCGCCCCGTCTAGAACGGATTCGGGGAAAAGGTCCTACTGCTGCTCGGTCAGAGGTTTGATGTATTGCGCTTCTTGTGCTGGCTTCGCGTGGGACGTTCCTTCTTCATGTTGGACAAATGTAATCGACTATACGTGTAATTTACTCATCGTCGAGCAAAGTAGGGCCAGATCTGAATGAAAAGATCTATTTCAAGATCTCCCTAAGACTGGATTGAGGAGGACAGTGAATGTCTCCGTACCAACTTCCAGGTGGTGCTTCGCCACTCATGAACATGATCCCCCTGGTGCTTATCTTATCGGTGTCATCATGGATCAGTCGTTCCATTGATCTCATGTCGCGTTACGGTATTCCTGGACTTCTGTTTTTCACTTCCCACACGACAGCTACCGTTCAATTCGCGACACCGATTTCAAGTCTTTGTGATTAGGATCAAGCAACTTCTTGGCTGACGCTATGCCTCCGCAGCCTGAAGCCCGCGACGGACCAAGACTGTGCATTGTCTCCGCCCGAATGACTCTTAACCGCCAAACGACGGTACTGTGGCATCAGCGCGACTCCGCGCCGGTCCTCATCTGGTAGTGAACCTACCGCGACCTCTCACCCGGACAATCTCCTCGCATCCGATTCGTCGCGCGGAGATTTGTTCATTGCCGGCTGCACGGACGTGGCGGAGAGCCTACGTGCGCGGAGCGTGTGTCTCTCAAGCTGCTCTTTTACACCCTCTCGTTCCGTCAACCGATTGCGGTACTGACTTTCTACGCGGAGAGCTCGCCGCTTCGTTGCTGCTTTCAGTCACCCGCCAAATAGAGCTGCGTTGCGACCCCGGGCGTTCCCGTTGGCCATCTCGTCATTTCTCGTATCCACCCACCCTTGGGCTCTCCGCCTTGGCAAGCGGAGACTGACAATGCAGTTGCCCTCCGCGGCATGCTCTGGGGTTCGTATCCACAGCGGCTGGATTCGGTCTGTGCCAGGTGGGTGGGTGAGTGGTCCCTCCCGCGCCAATGGAGCCTCGAAGATGAAAAGGTGGATGACGTCGGCGTGGACTGGACTGGGGGCGGCGACTGCTCTGTGCATAATGCCCCAAGGCCTGGACCTCGAAACTGTAAAGCCTGTGTCGAGGACGCTGTAGTCGTGAGCTCCGATGATGCTCGCTGTTTGCGCATGCAGTCACAGCTCTGCAAGAGGGCCGGTTCCCGAACCTGTCGCAGAGGGTGCCATCGCCACCCTCAGTTGACAGCTTTTTAGTGTGCTTTCTCTGATGTCATCATTTTGCACTGTGCATTTGACATCGAGCATTTACCGGCGTCTCAGTCTTGCGTCTTTGATCAAGTTGGGCCGTCCGCCAGTGCATTCCGATCGAGCCAGCTGCAGCTCTTCTCCGTTCCTGCGTTGACCAATCAGGGTCCGGTCCCGGGTCCTGTGACACGACCACCCGGCCGACGATCTTGATCGAAGTGGGACACGGTTCTGCTGGGGTCGCAGTTCCAGATGACTGCAATGAAGGTGTCGACCGGAGCGCTCAGATACCGCGGCCTTAGTGCACTCACGAAGGCTCGCATTCAAGCCTATCGAAGGAGCGTTCCGAATCTGCGCGTTCTGCAACTTCTGTTCCCGGCACGTGCAGGCCTTCTGCCAGCGACGTCAGCCCAAGGAACGCGTCAGGCCCTTGCCAATTCAAGTCTCCTGCTTCCCGTAATGACCAGATCCAATCCGGATGCGGGTACCCTCGTATAAAGGGCTCCGAGTCCTGCCTTTTTTTTCTTCACCAATACCATCCATTCATCCATCTCAGACATGTCTAACGACGGCGCGTCCCACAAGTCGACCTCGCAACTGAACAGCCCCCTCTCCTCTGGGAACGCACGCGGTCCCCGCTCGCCCACGTCGAGTGTCTCGCGCATCCGGTGCGCAGCTCCTTCTTTTCCCTCTTCGTTGATGCACGCTGATGCGCGCCGCCCTTTATTAGAGAGACGCTGCGCGAGCCGTTCGCCGAGTTTCTCGGTGTCGCGTTCCTAGTCATCTTCGGTGCTGGCGTCAATTGCCAGGTCACCCTGTCGAGCTCCCCGGGCGTCTCCGCGACCCCCAAAGGTGTCAGTGCACGACGCCCAGTCCCGGTCTTCTCTGTGACTAACTTTTCGACAGGACTACCTCGCCGTCAGTTTCGGATGGGCCGTAAGCCATTTATCATTGCCTGCATGAATAATTTTGCTCAATGACGATGACGACAGGTCGGGCTCTGTTTGGGTGTCTGGATATCGAGCGGGATCTCGTCTGGCCACATCAACTCTGCGGTCAGGCCTTCTCCCCTTCTAATGCAAAAAAGACGCTCAACCTCGCTCCAGGTAACACTAGCTATGGCGACTTGGCGCGGCTTTCCGTGGCGGAAAGTTCCGGTAAGCTTCCCTGGAGTTTGGAGCCGCCACGGGCTACTTCAGCTGACGTGCATGGACAGGGATACATCCTTGCGCAAACCCTCGGTGGATTCGTGGGTGCCGCATTGGTATACGCCAACTACTTCCACGCGATCGACATCTACGAAGGGGGGACCGGCGTCCGAACGCTCAAAACTGCTGGCGTTTTTGGCGCCTACGCCGTCAGTGCTCTATGTGTCAAGCTTTTGCGAAGCTGGCCGCGCTGACCTGCCGCCCCAGATTGACTACCTCTCGAACCCCTCGGCGTTCTTCTGTGAGCTGTTCGGGACTGCCGTGCTCGTGTTCGTCATCGTCGCGCTGTTGGACAAGAAGAGCTCCGCGCCCTCGCCGGCCCTGTTCCCCATCGCGATCTTCATCACCATGCTCGGCATCAGCTCGTCCCTGGGAATGCAGACCGGCTTCGCGCTGAACCCCGCTCGGTAATTACGCCCGCGCCCCAGGGTGCCCCCCCTTCGGATGGGGATTGTGGCTAACGCCTTTGGCAGGGACTTTGGACCCCGGCTCTTGTCGGCTGCGGTCGGATACTCCTCGGCCGTGTTCAGCTTCCGCCACCAGTACTGGATCTGGACGGGGATCCTGGCCCCCATCATTGGGGCCCAGCTTGCGGTCGCTGTGTACGATCTTTTTTTGTACAACGGGGAAGACAGCATCGCCCATAAAATGTCTGTATCGGTCCTGCTGTTCACCGAAACGCGCTGACGTGTGGTGTGGCTATCGCAGCTCCGATGGAAAACGCCCGGCTGAGCGCGACGAGTCTGTGTGATGCAGACGCAGTATACATATCGGGATGAAGCTCGCTCGCTCCCGCCTTCCAGCTTCTCAGATTCGAGTCTTCCCCGAGATATACAGTAACTAACTCCAGGGCCTCGCCTCGGCTCGCTATACCGTTTACTTAGTTTGACGACCCCTTCCGGCTTTCGCGCTGACGATTTTTCTATGTTTCAAATAAACGCGTTGACAATGATGTACTGTAGAAGAATGAATATTACTTGCTTTTATGAATTGGAAGGATGATTGCGGAGTGCGCTTTACGTCAAGCAGAAGAGACAAATTCTTGCCAGGACGATCGGGGGCTCCAATCTCGTTCGAACTTGAACTATTTGCCGTCAAAGTGCTCTCCCTGAGAGGAAGGTTTCTCCCCGTACCCTCCAAGATGAAATGCACGTGACCATTTGTGGCGTGCGGCCCGTGTCGTTGCCCTTGTCGGCATTCCTGCGGCCCCGAAGTCAAACCGGAGACGCGTGGCATGGCCACTACTTAACCACGTTATGTATGTCTTCCTCCACTCCACGCGATAGCCGCGCCATGTCGTGTGGCAAATGCGGATCCGGGACCCGCCGCACCTCTTGACGGGAAGCTGATATTATCTTCGTGTCGCCAGGGATCATGACACGTACATGTAACCGCGATCGTTTCGAGACGCACGATAATCCGCTCCTGCTTTCACGTATGTAGAGCTGTCTGTGATCCGCTGATCCGGCGGCGAGGATGGCGTGGTACATAAGTAGACGTGCGGAGGTATGCACTATGCGTGCTCCAGCGAAGACTGGGTGTGCTGACGAGGGAGAGAGCCACCGTGACGGTGGCCCGGCTTCACGTCATATACAAACATGTCGGCCGTTTCTGCCATGCGCACCGGGGTTCTCTACGAGATCCTCTAGCATACCGTCCCTCGGTGAACTCATTCCGGCTGTTGGGGTGTCGTTGGCTACCTCCGCTCCCTGGGTTCTGCCACGCGACTGCCACTGTCACTGGTAGACGGTGACTGCTGTGTCACTGTCGTCGCTGTAGTCCCGAGTGGTCGCCTACCATATCTTCAAATTCGTGTATATCAGATCCCCTCATCTGGCTACAGTTCTGCTTTGCCTTCAGCTGGAATGAACCCATGCGTTTCGTGCATATTATGCGTCCTGCCGGACATGAGAACCGGAGTCGCGACACACGTCCGGGACTCTGCCGCGCCAAGCTTCCCGCTGGTCCAGCTGCAGCCCAGGGCGGAGTGGCACAGGTGCATCAGGGAACATCCATGCGTCCATCGTCCAGGAGGAGAAGCGCTGACTGACGTGAGCATTGACGTCGCACATTGACCGCGGATCTCCGTGTCTACGAGAGGCCGTCCTTTTGCTGAGGGGGACGGGAGGATCGATGTCGACAATAGTCGCGCGGCTCAATGCCTTGGCAGGGGACATTCGACCTGGATCTTTCGCCAGTCACCGGAGGGAGAACGACAGCGATATGCAGCTCGCGTCACTCTTCCAGAAAATGTTGGTTCCATCTCGACGAAAACGCATCGATTGAATTCAATCTTCTACGAGTAAGAAAACATGCATGATATACAATCAACACAAAGCAAGGACAGCGAGCGACAGGAAAGCGATGGAAGAGAATGAGAATGTCAGGGAAGAGGCGCCGCTGCTTGCTGCATCGCTGCCCGCACTGGATCCGCTCCCAGCGCTCGAGCTGGAACCGCCGCCCCCGCCACCATGCGCAGGGGCACCGGTCTTGCCCGCGCTCTTGGTCAGATTGAAGATTTTGACAAAGTCGACGGTATCGATCTCGGGGGGCATGTTCTGCATCAGAGTGCTCCGCACAGAGAGGAGGTCCGCTTGGGCTTTGCTGGCGTCTGTCACGGACAGCATCTGCACAAAAGGCTTGGAGCCCGGCTTTGCGTTCCCTCCCGTGGCGAAGTCGAATCTGTGTGTGATGCAGTCAGCAAAGAGGAAATGCGAAAGCGAGTGAGTGAGCGCCTGCCCGTACACGGTGTATGTGTTGCGCAAAAACGAGTCTCCGAAGAGAGCGTCGCTCGCCCCGGAGACGATGGCGCCGACATCCGTGAAGGTGCCGATGCACACCGTGTAGCTGCGTGTCCCGTCCGGCGATGTGACGACTTGCATGTCCGTCATGTCCAACGGATGGATGGCATAGTCTTGGCCGCCGAAAGTGGCCACGACGCTGATGGACGCGTTGCAGGGCACAACCCAGACTGCGTTCGTGGTGCTGTACTGCGTCTGCGGGATCCACATGATGTCGTTCGGCGCAAACACGGCGTTGGGAACCGAGCCGTAGATCGCAGCGACCTGTTTTGCGGGCATCATGACGTTCGTGGTGCTTTCCGCGGGGTGAGTGTCAGCCAGGCAGGGTGCGGACATGCGCACCCGGTGTCGAGGTGGACAATGTTGCTTCCAGGAGTCGCGCTCCTCATCGTGGTCGGCCAGTCGATCTTCTTCCCTCCCACAGACATGCCGTCGAGCGGGACTGTCCACGCCCCCGAATCAGCCGGTGTCTGCGGTATTTTAGGCGAGCTGGCGACCTTGTCATAGTCCGAGTCGTATTCAGAGATGGTCAGCGACGCGTCAGCGGTGCCACCAGCATCACCGCTGCGAGACAGTGCGATTCCGATGTAGTCGGCCTTGGTAGGGTCTTGCGCAAAGATGTTGGCGAGCACAGACTGGCCCCACTTGGCAGACGGGCCGTAGGCGGTCTGTATCGCGTCGTTGACCCCAGACGAGCCGGGCGTGTCGAAGCCAAGACCCCACAGACCAAAGATCCCGTCGGCAAAGTCCGCGTCCTCGGCTGCGGCGGCCTACATAACAGGAAAGCGCGGCGTTAGGAAAACGCCAACGTCGCATTTTCACGTGTGCCCCTGACGTGACTTACTTGGAACACGTTCAGATACGCCTGGTGCGGGATCGTGTACTGGTTCAGCTGGAACTGCCCGACCCCGATGTCGCCAAAGACGTAGTCGGATCCGTCTCCGTACCGCAGCGTCGCATTCAGGTGCGTGTCGTTGAATTTCGGGACACCTTCGGGAGGCATGACCCTGCGAGGCAGCTCAGGACGGCAAGTCACGGCAGAGGACACGAGAACGCACCAAAGGTCCGTGCTGCCGGTGTCGAGGGCGACATTCACGACGCGCCCGCTGATCGTGATGTTCGCAGTATACTAGGGGGGAAATGAGAAACCGCGTCGATCGTCTGGAAAATCGTCTGCGCACGCGTAGGTTGCCTTTGTTGATCAAGTTGCCGTTGACGTTCGCGCTGGCCTTGGGAGGCCGTGAAATGGCGAGTTTGACCGCGCTGGACGGGGTGCAGAGAAGGAACGAAACGAGTGAGAAAAGCGCCACAGCGCTGTGCATCGCGGACCAGGAGAAAAAGTTCGAAGAGGGGGCGAGGGCCGTAGTCCCACACCATCGCTAGGCCATGTCCTTTTTATGTGTGCGATCGCTGCGCGGCGAGCGCCGTAAGTTGTAACTGACTGAGTATTAGAAAGCCAGTCAAGCGGAATCTATCACACACGATCACGACGCCAAGATCCCAGAGCTGTGTGGCGTCGTGGGACTCGCTGGGGTCATAGTTGTGCCGCGTCGAACAGAAGAACATGGGGGGGAGGGCTGCTGCGAATGCGCGTCGTGTGACCCTTGCCCGCGGCGCTCTACAGCAGCATCTCGGTCAGAGGGCACCAGCTCGCCAGTGACTAGTGACGGGTGGGCTCTTTGCAGAGCCTGCAGTGATATCAATCGAAGATGGGCTCGGGAACATTCGGGCTTGGACTGTCTGGATTGGCTTGGAGGGGCGCCGAGAGGAAATCGCACCCTCCGGCAGACGCGGTCACGAGGGCGGCCCTGGCGAAAATTGAATACGAGCACCGCCACCTGTCAAATAGTCTCTCTCCAGGATAGTGGAACTGGTCGATGAACACATTGGTGCCTCTTGATTATGGGCTCTCAACTCGCACGACAAGGCTAAGGAAGTAATTTTGAGGCCACACATGGGAATGACGAGCCGTGAATCGTGCCTTGGATGTTGGGGGTCAATGGCAAAAAGGACATGTGAGGGCTGTTGTCTGGGGTATCAGAAAGATTCCTCAGATCATAGCCTCACTCCCTCCTTATTCGCTGACGAGTTGTGAATGTTATCTTTGATCTTTTTTAGGTTTTGTTTTCACCGCTTGACGTGCGTTTCAACGACCGCTGGCACACTTTCACCCCGACTGCTGCAAAGGGCGGTCAAATTGGTCAAGAGATGGCTTGAGGATGCTGTTGCTTCGTGTATATATATATTTAACGTATAAAGTGTCTTTGGAGGACACGACCTAACCAAAATAACATGATTGTTACTCGCAGTATCAGAAAGTTGCCTCGGATCATAGCCTCACTGACGAGTTGTGAATGTTATCTTTGATCTTTTTGGGTTTTGTTTTTTTTACAGTTGTGAGGTATCCTATAGTAAGGTATGCATTATAAATCCACGCATTACGAGTCCACGCATTAGGGGAGGAAAAGCGCAAAGCAAAGCAAAACATGCCAGCATCCGGTGCGGCGGACAGAAAGACGAATAACGCAGACGAGGGAGAACACAGGAAACAGAATTACAAATCCACAGCAAGAGAGACGAAATGAGGAACTGCTGCCAACGCATTGCGCGGAGCGGAGACGAGCGCGGAAGCCGCCGGTTTCGGTTTTCGAGCGCCGCACCACGCTTCGAGATCACTGCTGTCCGATGACCAGCTGTCGGTCGAAACCACACTGCTCCTTGACGAATCGCTGTCGCACACCGGCGACGTTCTGTCCATGACCGAGAACCGCATTGCCGCGATCTTCTCGACCGTCTGCGAGTGCCAGAGCGAGGGGAAAGGCGACGAGGCGAGCTTGGGGGCGTACGTCAGAGGCGGCGCTGGGACAGTATGCGAGACCGTATCGGGGATAACGACAATCGGGACCGGGACCGGAGCGACGCGCTTGGAACGAGAACGAGAGACGAGTCGGCGCAGGGCAGACGAGACGCCGCGTCGGGACATGCGAAAAACCGGAGACACATACTCGAACGGGCTGCCCTCGCGAGTCACCGAGACAGGGAACGGACTCTTGCGCGCGGTCGATGGGACGTAGGCCGGGACCGGAGACCACGGCGCCGGGACTTGGTGTCGAGCCATCTTCTTCCAGTTGACGTTCGAGAAGTACCGGTGCTCCTTGAGCTGGGCGATCGTGAGGCGCGTGTCGCGGTTGTGGTCGAGCAGGCCCCGGATGACGCCCGCCAGATCCGTGTCGACGGTTGCGAGCAGCTCGGGAGTCTCAGCCGAGGGCATCTGAAGTTGATATATGTGGTTAGCAAGAGACATCGGGCAGCAGAGGAGGAGGGACTTGCTTGACCCGTCGCTAGCTGATGCACGACAACACCCAGCGCGTACACATCGGCGTCGAAGCTGTAAGGGGTACCCTGCACCTGGGCCGGCGACATGTACCCTGCCGTCCCACAGCGCTCCCTCGTCACACCCAGAACCTCATCCCAGCTCTGTGTGAAGAACGACCCCGAGTCAGCGTCGGCCGAGACGTCGAACACAATTTCCGCAGGCTCGTCGGTGCCGTTCATGAGCGATCCGGGGAGGTGGACTGCGAGATCAAAGTCGCCGAGCACGATGTTGCCGTCCTGGGTGAAGAAGATGTTCGCCGGCCGGACATCGCGGTGGACGATGTTGAGCTGGTGGAGCGAGTCGAGCGCGGTCACCTGACGTTCCGTCGTCAGCCTTTGTGGACATCAAACAGAGCGGGAGCTCGCACCAGTTGGGCAAACATGAAGTGCACGCGAGGAGCCGAGAGACCGCCCCAGTGCTTGTGTCCGTTGGCCAAGTAGGAAGTGAGATCACGACCGGCACACCACTCCTATTTCTATGTCTCAGCTCGATCCCGACGAAGACGACGGATGTGAGACACTGACAGACAAAAAGCAGTAGCGGGACTCGTCTTCCCAACTGGCGTGGAGCGGCAGAAGGGAGCGGGAGACGTCGAAACCAGCCGCGGCGATGCGTTTGAACGTGGCCTGCTCGTTGATGGCCGGGTGAAGACGGTCGGACTGGGGTCCACGGAAAGCCGTCTTGAGAGCAAAGCGGTCGCCGGTGGTCTTGTGCTTGACCAGGTGCACATTAGATTTCGAGGTCTGACCGATGCGGTTGAGAACATCGAAGTCCGCGAGGGTAATCTGAGCGGTGGAGGAGGAAGGATCAGTGATCAGAGCTCGGAGAGGATCAGGAAAGGCAATGTACCGCCGATTCGTTGATCTTGTTGGTAGATTTGAACATGTCGAAGCTTTCAGTTGGATTGGATGTGCAAGTAGATGATAGAGGTCTTGATGAAAGTGTCGATAGCGAGGCAGAGCGGAGAGGTGAGCTTTATATACCACCGCGGAAGCAGCGTGTCTCAGATGGGGACTCCACGGAAGACCAAGACTCCCGTGGAATGCAGACTCGTCGCTGAGACATGAGCGGGAAATGAGGCCAAGCGTATGCAAATCCGTCGACGAGAAGAAATTGCTTATGTCTTCGTATCTTATCATCATCGTCCACAGAGATCGCCATTCATCCTCTTTGTATCAGAGAGAGAGAGAAAGAGGTGTATCACGGTCACATGCTACCAGTAATAATGATTTCGGAGATATCCGCTCGAATGATGATTTCCGCTGGACGATAAGATTCACTTTATCCGCTTGTCTGAGATTCTGAACTACTGACAAGAAATACTCGCATGAAAAGAAAATCGATCATACACATGCCCTACATTGCGATGTTAACTTTCACGCTTCCCTCATGCTTCGAAACACCTCTCCCAATCCTTCTTTCCGTTCTCCCTTGCATACATCTGACTTTTCAAGAACGCATTCAGGCTGCACAAGCCTCTGAAAGCCCCAGTCTCCGCCGCGCCGCAGAACGGTAGCGGCTGGAGCACCTCGTTCTCGAAAATCCGGACGAAGGAAGTTGAGGAGGCTGTGCTGCCGCGCACGGTCTGTCGGCACTCGAGCTTTTCGACAACCATGCGAGAGCTGAAAGTCATGATATCGCTCGTCTTCCAGCGCCTGTCAGATTTCGGGTGGGTCGGCTTTAGGTGGGGAGTGGGGAATAAGCCGAGCGCGCCGAAGATAGCCATTTCCGGACTGTCGTGGGTAAAGTCCGCATAGACAGTGCGGTTGAGCGGGAACGTGACTGGGTCGGAGTCCAGCGTGCGATTGGTCGAGGTGTAGTCCTCGACGGGCGAGGAGGTGAGCCGAGCGATGAGCTCGTTCACGTAGCCCACGCCCTGCACGCGGCCCAGAGACGAGCCGTATCTGGCGAGCACCCCGTCAGAGGCACAGCACGCTAAAGCACGAGACAGTCACACACCCGGTAGAGTAGTACCGGTCGATGTCGGCAGCATACGCGAAGAGTACAAATTCGTCCGGCGTGAACAGCTGGCAGAAGGAGCTGAATGGAAGCGGCGAGCCCAGCTCGAAGTCGGCGGGGACGCTAGCCACCGTCTCGAACGCGCAGAGCATCTGAAGGCTGTGCACGTCCTTGTTCGTGATGTTTGCACCCGGCGCCCAAGTATTCAGGCGCCCGGCGATCGGAGGCGCGTAAGTATCGAACCATCGGTTCATTTCGTGGTGAGAAGAGTCTCCATTTGGGCAGTTGTTGTCCTGCAGTGTGTCGTTTCCCTGGGCAGACGATCTTCTGCGTCAGTCGGTTGACCTGGGGAAGAAGCGATTCGCGCCCACCTGCTCGTCGAGTATGACAGATAGACGAGGGAGAGAATTCCCTCCACTGGCCACGCCGAATCCTACGAGGATCGCGTGAGTGGGGGACGGAGACGCGGATACCCCCCGTGCATGGCTTACATACCCGCTGTCCAGTTTGTGGCCGAATCGATCACCCTGCTCATGCCCGAGGCCCGAACGAAGGGCGTATCGCCGCCCGCAAGCAGCCGTGCGTATCTCCGGTAAGCCGTGGCACCAGAGGCGGCCGATCTGTGTGACACACGCATAGTTAGCTTCGCGGTGATGATGATTGGGTTGGCACCAGGTCGGCGATTCTGGGCCTGGGGACCGCTGCTACGCACTGCATGGCACCGAGCGGAACGAGCAGGTTTTGCCCATGGGTGTATTGATAGCGGTGCAGAAAGTCCAGGCGTGGGTCCGCGTACTGCGGGACGGCGAGCAGCTTGTTGAGCGCATGGAGGATCTCCTCAGTTTGGCTTTCCGAGGGAAGACGGGCACCGTGCCGGTGGAGCTGTGGGAGATCGGATGCTCGAATGGACACGATGCGCAGCAGGGGATCGCACGCACGATGTTGACCTGCCGTAGAATGAGTTGGGGGTACCAGACATGTCCTTGAGAGCCCCACGCACCTGAGAAAGCTCGCACCCGGGAGGGAGCGGTGCATAGTTGTCCTCCGCATGGAAAGGGGAGTATACACCCCAGAATTTCTGGATCTCGACCTGGTCGCGAGCCAGCCCGTCGCTCACACGGAGAGCCGACCACGAAGGGAATTGCACAGAGAGCGCGCTCAATACCAACCCAAGCGCGCGAAACATGGTCTATCGTCGTTGTGCCTCGAGTCGTACAGCGGTTGGTTACTCGTCCAGAAGGAGGAGGGTGGGAGAGAGACGAATATAGCCGCAAAGCCCCTCATCGAGATATTTGACGACGGACCGTCTATTTTCGTCATTTGCCGATAGCAACAAGTAGACATCCAGGCCGAATCAAGCGGTTGCGGAAAGGGGGATCCAAGGATACGATGGACTGGATCACGGACTTCGAGTTGAGATCATGATCTTATTCGATAAGATAACGCCAAGTAGTAAGA